CATAATATTGTATTTAACCTAATGATAACAGTATTCATATTAATTGCATTCAATAAAAAAAATCCCCGCAAATTCAAGGAATGGATAAATCTCCCATGATCACTGGGGTCTCTTTCTCCTTGGTGGCTGAGTACTTGTTTAGCCATCTGTGTGCAACAAACTTCATCAAAACCTACAGTGGACAGTGCATAAACCCACAGCCAGTTCTTATTTTCTTTATTTTTTGTATTCAAGACTAATGGGAGTATAAGGTAATATCATATGAAATTGTGAAATTTTTGCAGAGTTGACGAAGTGACAAGAAGACTGCTGTCCATTGAATTCAGCAGCCATAAAGAGAACGTGAAAGTCCAGCGGCAGGAACTCTGCAAGAAAATCCAGCGACACCAACATGATACTGGTTCTATGGAAGTGGCAAGTACGTAACTCTAGAATTTTATTGTACAAAGTTGCTTGTGATTTTCATTGATCTTTTGCCATTAGTAGTGAAACAATCTCCTTCTTCTTCTTCTCTTTCTTCTTCTCCTCCTTCTCCTTGTCTTCCTCCTCCTCCTCCTCCTTCTCCTCCTTCTCCTTCTCCTTCTTCTCCTTCTCCTTCTCCTTCTCCTCCTCCTTTTTCTTCTTCTTCTTCTTCTTCTTCTTCTTCTTCTTCTTCTTCTTCTTCTTCTTCTCCTGAATATCTTCACTATTCACTGCTTTATTAATTATCTGCATAATCGTGTGTGTAGTAGTATTATAATTAATTGCTTGTTTTCTTCCTGCTCTTTCAGTTGCAATGATGACTATAAAAATTCGGAACCTTCAAAAGGAAGTGTTCAAATGCAAGAAGAATATCTTGCAGAGGTGTTATCTGCAGGAACTGATCGACCGTCGCAAAAAAATGCTGAAGCACTTGCGCAGAATGGACTACAAGCGCTTTGAGTGGCTGATTGGAGAACTAAATATTATTTATCGGCCAGCCCCAAGGTATGGTGGATATTTATACACCATATATTTGTTTGTATATAATTTTTTTCTGTTTTTTCATATTTTTTTGCAGTGGTAATTGAATATAATAAAGCTCTAATCCCAGTGCACTTTGATTGTAGGTTATTGTTTGCACACAGATGGCTTCACAAGTGTTTAGTTATGATGAAGTCTAGTACTAAACCTATCTATCTACTATCTTACTTGCTTATCATTTTCCTTGATTTTTTAATTCTTTTTTTATTGCTATTAGTATTTTGATAATATTAAAGTAATCAATAATAATAATTACATATTATTAGCATAAAAAAAATATATTTTCCTAAAATTCAGGTATTGGGGAAATCCGGTCAAGTTGCACAGTCCTATTAACCCAATGGCGCCAGGTGTACAAAACAAAAAAAAAACTCTACGCTTAAACAAACAAAGGCGGCGCGCCAAGTTTGAGCGCGTGAGTAGGGGACAGCAGCCCGAATCACTGGCTCGCCGCGCTTTGGCGCGCCACCGGCTCGTTCGGCTGCACGCCAGCTTTCGAGCGCTTTGTTTACACGCCGATCGGTGTCACCCGACACCAAGGGGTTAATTGACTCCTTTGTGGCTGAACACTTATGGAGCCATCTGTGTGCTATAATATTCACAAAAAACTGCAGTGGGCTGTACATGTAACCATGGCTAAAGAGTTCATTTTATAGAATGATATAAATTATATAGTTACCCTTGTTTAAAATGATGTCTTATGTAATCTTTCTTATAGGTCATAGCACAGATATTAATTTTTAAGGTGTTGCTTCTACCTGTGATCTTGCATAGATTTTTCTTCTTACTGCAAGAGATACTTTATCCATTTATTTTATTTGGCATCAGTCATAAATCTTAATTTGAATATCATGAATATGGCCTTGCTTATCGTCCATGATATAACTACATAACTTCCATATAATGACCTTACTTTGTATATGAACTCCACCTTCACGCAATTCCAATACAGGTACTACCGATGGATCACGAGAAAGGCCTCACTGAAGAAGCTGGTCCGTATGCGCAAGAGAGAGATCATCCACAAGAAACTCAACGAATATAAGGAGAGTCTGGAGTGCCAGAAGGAGCCATTCCTCAAGGAGAAGGCAGAGACCTTGAAGTGGATTGCCGAGACTGAGAAAAGCCTCGGACTCCCTGTTAGTGTGACCGTACCCGAGGCGGCTTCGTCTTCTGCATAATGGGAACGGGGATGATGGCTTTTGGCTGAGGAAACCACTATACACGAAATAGGTTTATTGAAAGAGGAGATAACAGTTTTGAAAATCAATCTGGATTTCATCCTCATGTCAGAAAGATGAAAATCATATGGACTGTAAAACTATCTCATCTTTCACTAAACTAAAGCAATTTTTTCTTCCTAATGGCATGGTGGAATGTGTTGTCAGTCAAGGTGGTTTCTGTTGTATATTGTGTTATATAGTAAAATGTTTTTTGTTTAAAAAGAATGATATGGAAACAAAGAGTTCTCCGTAAGTAATAAAGCTTATATACACATGATTTAAATTTCTTTTACCTCTTTTTGTCCAAAAAGGAAAGTAATGAAAAGATGAATTTTTTTTCTTTCTAGTTTTATAAAAATTATAAAATGTACATACAGAATTTCAGTAATTACATTACTTCATTTTATCTGAACACAGCAACGTAAATTCTCTACAATTTATTAACTTTTTACAGTAAGGTACTAGCACAAACGGGTATGAACGAGAGTTAATAACTTCACATCATGACATGTAGTTGATGGGTTTTGATTTTTTGATTTTATATTCAACAGGAAGACATCAAATACATCTGGTGCAAGAAAAGTGTTTGAAACACTTCAATCTTAACTTCATCATCTGAAGATATAATGAAAATGCACCAAATAAATCTCCTGAGCTGCTTAGTTAGTCCCCCTCAATCATACCTTCTTCTACATCTGTCTCAATGAACTCTCTTCAGTTAGGTACTTCCCCTAAGTCAACATCATCTGCTGGAATATTATGGCACAGAAAACTCGTGCAGCACCTCAAAACCCAAAGGCGGACAGACCCTTCACACGGGGGCGTTGCGCAGAAGAATTTGCCTTGCGTGTCTCTTCTGCCTCGGCACCCTTTTCCTTGTCTTTCTCTTTGTCCTTGCGCCGGAAGCAGGAAGACAGCGTCAGAGATTCTTTGTGGAACCTCAAGGGAAGCACTCCCAGCTGGCCTCCATATCTATTCTTTACAACCTGGAATTGTCAATGTACAAAATTCATGGATATTTATTTGAACAAATGAACAAACCAGCATGTCATGTAGGCAAACATATTTAAAAACTTCTTATTTGTCTTTTCAACAAATTTAGTTCTTTTTTTTCTAATTATTTCCATATTTTCTTCCAATATTAAAAATCAAAAAGGAGGTATATCCCATTAAAAAAAAACCTTAATACTCCAAATATATATACAAATAGCTCCTATTGCTCTATACAAAAAGCCAGCAAAGTCCATACAAACAAATGCCTCTTGAGGCAAAATAGCAACTTGGTTTACCTGCAACGCCTTCTTGCTTTGATTGATGGCTGAGCTGCTTTTCACCTGCAGAATGAGCACATTGTCTGCCTCTTGTGTTGCCTTGGCTCCACCAAATACACTGTTGATGCTCAGCAGCTGACCATCGGGCACCTTTTATGAAGTAAATACATCTGGGTGGTGCTTACATTGCAGACTGATAGTTAAATATAAAAAAAAATATTTAAAACTAATTCTTTTTTTTGTGTGTGGGGAGGAGAAATTGGTAGATAAAGCAATGGAAAATAGAAGGTTCATGCAGCATGAAATTGTGGTTTAAAAGTATATAAGTAAAGGGAAATAATGCAGAAAGGTTAACCCATGGGTGTCAGGTTAATGCTTTTTCACTCTCATTTTGTAAATTTTGTTTATACATATATGACTCCACAAGTGCTTAGTCACCAAAGAGTCTTAGAAGGCCTAAATGACTTCATATGATCACCCTAAACTAGTGATTGACTCCTTCTGAAGCAATCTATGTTAAATTAACCCATTCCTGACGGGCATGGCATGTACATACATGCCATGTCACTGTGAGTTTACTTGTTTAATTGTTTTTACACATAGATGGCTACACTTGTACTAAATCCCCAATGAGGCAGGTATACATACTGCCTCTCCCCCGTTTACCCTTTTTTTTAATTTACAAAAATATATAACGTTATCTTATTTTGCTAGTACTAATGATTATAACATTATAGTAATTATAATGTATATAATACAAACAACACCATTGATATTCATAGCACTAGTAAAAAATACATTTCCCGCCAATTCAAGGAAAGGTGAAATCAGGTAAGGCAGAGCCATCTATGTGTAGACATTTCACAAAAAATCTAAAAAATGAGCACAGCATTTTCCCCATTTTTTATTCATTTTCCCCAGCGGCAATGGCATCAAATAGCTGGCATCCTGGCATCAAATAGCTCATCTGAGGGACCTTGTCTCTCTACATCTGTTGTTTGGAGTCTATTAGATACAGGCACTTGAGAGGAAACCTCCTCCTCCTCCTTCTTTTTTATTATAAAATACAGCTACAAGCTATTATGTACCTAATGTTGTGCTTGAAGTACTGAATGAGCTGGATACAAATGGGAAAGATCCTGATAATGTGCAACAATAACCTGCAATACTGGCCTCTAGTTAATTTTTATTACAGCAGTTCATGGGCTAATTTTGTGATTTTCATTACTTATTATAACTATGACAGCTTTACAAAAATCCCAAATTAGAAACAAATATTATTAATGTTTTTATTAACCCTTTCAGTGCAGCAGCTGAAAGAAAGTGTACTTTCACGATGATTACCCCACCAGTTCCTTGCTTCTTGTTACTGTGGGGGGGCTTAACCCATTGCCGCCGGGGAAAATGAACAAAAAATGGGGGAAATACAGTAATCATTTTTTATATTTTTGTGAAATATCTCTGTCCATAGATGGCTCTGCTAGTCCTGATTTCACCTTTCCTTGAATTGGCGGGAAAAAATGTATTCTTACTAGTGCTATAAATATAGATGGTGTTATTTTTAACAGCAAATTAGGATAACGTTAAATATTTTCGTAAATTGATGAAAAGGGTGAACGGGCGAGACAGGCAGTACTCGTAATTGGCTCATTGGATACTTAGTACAAGTGTAGCCATCTATGCGTAAAAACAATCGAACAAATCGACTCACAGTGGGCATGGCATGTACATACATGCCATCCCCGGCGGCAATGGGTTAAGAGACAGAAACTGAGGCCCGATGTAGGGGATCACACCTCAGCCCTCGCCTTAACTATTTCTGCATGGTCTTTTCTTCTCCTTTCCTTTGCCTTCTCTTCATCCCCTTCCTCTGTCCACATATCCTAATCATTAACTCACTTTTACTTGTTACTTGGAATAGGTTTTTCCCCATGGATCTTTTGATTCTACACTTGAATAATCATCCAAGCTAAAATTCTTTCACAAATACAGTCATTTTACTACACACTTCCAGCTCTCTCTTCTCTGAGTAGTAATTCATATAATTCTTCTGCAACTAAAGAAATCATGTTGGATATAATTAAAATTGCAGGCCACATGTGATTAGAGACTTTCTTCATGATACAAATCTTTAATGTAAGTCTCAACTAAACATGCAGCTACACCCTATCCATTTATTTATCTACTTCCTCTTTGCTGTTAATTTTATCTATTTTACAACATTAAAATGGCACTAACCTTTTTCGGATGTACAATGAGAGTAACATGGCAATTGTGGGTTGTTGCGAATCGCCGGAAAGCTGCCACTGCCCGATCTTGCTCCCACCAGCGATCCATGGACTGATCGCTTGTGCCTAACATGAACTGCAAGTTATCTATGACGACATGCTGTATTCCCCAAACTCGGACAGCTTCGGTCATGGCCTGTAAGAGAAGGAAGGAAGGAGGGGAAGGAAAAAGAAAAGGGAGAAAGGGAAAAAGGAAAAGAGAAAATTAATTAATAAAAGAAATAAATTGTATAAAAATCTGTAAGAAAAGTTAAGCTCAATAAAAATCATCAAATCTACTTAACCCATTCGCCACATGTGGCAAGAATAGATGCCATACCCACTTTGATACACATTTATTTATTGTATTTATACATAGATGGCTCCACAAGTTTTTAATCACCAAATAGCCAGTTATCAAGAATTACCTATATCACCTGTTTACCCTTTTCCTTCACTTTAGGAAAAATTTTTTTTGTATCATTTCATTGTCAAAAATATTCTAATGACAATTCAATAGGCATAACATCAAAAACAATAATAATAGTATCGAAAACAATGGTATTAGTTTTCCCGCCAATTCAATGAATGGGAATATCAGGGTCGGTAACTAGGGTCTACTGATAGACTCCTTGCCGGCTGAGCACATGTGGAGCCATCTGTATGTAACAAAATTCACCAAAAACTACAGGGGACCGAACATAAATCCGTGGCGAATGGGTTAAGAAACCAAACCTATATATCTGAAGGACAAATGTATCTGACACAAAAGTCCGCAAACCAACCTGCATCCACCTAACATAAAAGAAATAATAACAACTAATAATAAACATCAATATTACCAAATAAAACAATATACACTTAAATAACACATTAAAAGAAAGTGTTCCTACAAAGCTCACCTTGATAACAGAAGAGGCTGTCTGCTGGCCATGGTAGGTGAGAAAGTGCAGAGGCAGCAATGCAAACTGCGAGGAGAGGTTGTTGAAAGCAATAGGGTCGTGAGGTAGTGATGTCCCACTGAACTGATGCAGCATAACTTCGCAAAGCCGCACCACGCTCACTTCAAAGCTGCCCCACAGGGTTTTCACCTATATGGTTCAGATGTAATAGTGATTTTAAAATTTAATGAAGATTAAAATGGAAATGGCTTAAAAATATGAGATGATAAAAATTATATTTGTGTTATTGTAGAGCATTACTGAATATCTAATGTATAGCTCATCTAAGATGTTAATCATAGATGGCATTTACAAAACCTAACTAGCAGCAAAGATAACACACACACACACACACACACACACACACACACACACACACACACACACACACACACACACACACACACACACACACACATATCACCTTAAAAACAAGAGGTTCCACCGAATATTATGTCATCGAATTCTGTACTTTTAACTGAGCATACATACAATACAACCAAACAATGAAGACACCCAACAAAAAAATCCTACCCAGTACAACTGTTTCTTCCTAGCAGAAGACACACTTACCAAACATACAAAAAACAAAACAAAGACTCAGACAGCTAAACAACCTTTATGACAATAGAAGATATAGACAAAGATACAAACCCCTTGCATACACAAGTCCAAGGAATATTCAGCCATGAATGTGGTTTTCCCTGAGCCTGTGGGACCTGTTAGTACCGTCAGTTCTCCTGGCCGGTGACCTAGTAACAGTTCGTTTAGTTCGCTGTATCTCTTCCACTGGACA